TGGTGTCCCCGTGGTGTCCGCAGGCATCGTGGTGGCGCACTACCTGCAGAGCGTGACGGCGGCGCTGGCGCTGGGCGGCGAGCTCGTCTACCACCGGCGCCCGGGCGAGGAGGGCACCGTGCTGTCGCTGGCGGGGCGCTACACGGGTGCGTGGCCTCGGGGACACCGGGTGACACCCCGTGACACCGGGTGACACCGGGTGACCCCCGCGTCCGCAGGCTCCAACTGGGTGGGCACCGTCACCGCCGGCCAGGCGGGCGCCCACGTCACCTACTACCACCGGGCCAACGAGCAGGTAGGGGCGGCGGGGTCCCCAGGGTCCCCAAGGGTCCCCAAGGGTCCCCAAGTGTCCCCAGGGTCCCCAAGGTCCCCCAAGGGTCCTCCAGGGTCCCCAAGGGTCCCCCAAGTGTCCCCAGGGTCCCCAAGGGTCCCCAAGGGTCCTCCAGGGTTCCCAGGGTCCCCAAGGGTCCTCCAGGATCCCCAAGTGTCACCAAGGTTCCCAAAGGTCCCCAAATGTCCCCAGGGTCCCCAAGGGTCCTCCAGGGTCCCCAGGGTCTCCAGGGTTCCCCCAGGGTCCCCAAGGGTCTCCAAGTGTCCCCAGGGTCCCCAAGCGTCCTCCAGGATCCTCAAGTGTCGCCAAGGTCCCCAAGGGTCCCCCAGGGTCCCCAAGGTCCCCCAAGTGTCCCCAAGGGTCCTCTAGGGTCCCCCAGGGTCCCCCAGGGTCCCCAAGGGTCCCCCAGAGTCCCCAAGAGTCCCCCAGGGTCCCAAAGGTCCCCCAAGTGTCCCCCAGGGTCCCCAAGGGTCCTCCAGGATCCTCAAGTGTCGCCAAGGTCCCCAAGGGTCCCCAAGAGTCCCCCAGGGTCCCCAAGGTCCCCCAAGTGTCCCCAAGGGTCCTCTAGGGTCCCCAGGATTCCCCCAGGGTCCCCAAGAGTCCCCCAGAGTCCCCAGGATCCCAAGGGTCCCCCAGAGTCCCCAAGGGTCCTCCAGGGTACTCCAGTGTCCCCAAGGGTCCCCAAATGTCTCCAGAGTCCCCAAGAGTCCTCCAGCATCCCCAAGTGTCACCAAGGTCCCCAAGTGTCCCCAAGGGTCCCCAGAGTCCTCCAGGGTCCCCAGGGTCCCCAAGGGTCCTCCCGGGTTTCCAGAGTCCCCCAGGGTCCTCAAGTGTCCCCAAGGGTCCCCAAGGGTCCTCCTGGGTCCACAGAGTCCCCAAGGGACTTCCAGGGTCCCCCAGGGGCCCCAAGTGTCCCCCAGGGGCCCCAAGTGTCCCCAAGGGTCCCCAGGGTCCCCAAGGGTCCCCAGGGTACTCCACGGTCCCCAAGTGTCCCCAGGGTTTCCCCCAGGTTCCCCAAGTGTCCCCAGGGTCCCCCAGGGTCCCCAAGGGTCCTCCAGGGTCCCCAAGTGTCCCCAGGGTCCCCCAGGGTCCCCAAGGGTCCTCCAGCATCCCCAAGGGTCCCCAAGGGTCCCCAAGTGTCCCCAGGGTCCCCTGGGGTTCCTTGACCTTGGGGGGTCAAGGGGAAGAGGGGGTGACACCGTTTGGCGGCACCCGGCGCTGTCCCCTTGCGGTGTCACCCTGTGGGGTCACCCCACAGGGTCCCCAAGGGTCCCCACGAGGGGTGGCATCGCGTGGTGGCACCCGGCGCTGTCCCCTTGCGGTGTCCCCCCGGCCCTGTGCCGTGTCACCGCGCAGTGTCACCCGGGGGTGTCACCGGGTGGTGTCACCCCTCGGCGTGCTCCGTGGTGGCACCCGCGCCGTGCCCCGGGCTTGTCACCCCGGGGGGCACCCACGGAGCGCCGCCGTGTCCCCCTCCGTGTCCCCGGTGATGTCCCTCGGGGTGTCCCTATGGGTGTCTTTGTCCTTTTGGTGTCACCCTTGTCACCCCACGTGTCACCCATGGGTGCCCCCTTGCAGCTGCAGCGGCGGGTGGAGCTGGAGGCCATGGGGTCCCTATGGGTGTCCCTATGGGTGTCCCTATGGGTGTCACCCATGGGTGTCACCCGTGGGTGTCCCTATGGGTGTCCCTATGGGTGTCCCTATGGGTGTCACCCATGGGTGTCACCCATGGGTGTCCCTATGGGTGTCCCTATGGGTGTCACCCGTGGGTGCCCCACAGCTGCAGCTGGGGGTGGAGCTGGAGGCCATGGGGTCCCTATGGGTGTCCCTATGGGTGTCACCCATGGGTGTCACTCCCACAGCTGCAGCTGGGGGTGGAGCTGGAGGCCGTGGGGTCGCTATGGGTGTCGCTATGGGTGTCCCTATGGGTGTCCCTATGGGTGTCCCTATGGGTGTCCCCACGTGTCACCCATGGGTGCCCCGCAGCTGCAGCTGGGGGTGGAGCTGGAGGCCATGGGCTCCCTATGGGTGTCCCTGTGGGTGTCCCTATGGGTGTCCCTATGGGTGTCCCCACGTGTCACCCATGGGTGTCACTCCCACAGCTGCAGCTGGGGGTGGAGCTGGAGGCCGTGGGGTCCCTATGGGTGTCCCTGTGGGTGTCCCTGTGGGTGTCGCTATGGGTGTCCCCACGTGTGTCACCCATGGGTGCCCCGCAGCTGCAGCTGGGGGTGGAGCTGGAGGCCATGGGTGTCCCTATGGGTGTCACCCATGGGTGTCCCTATGGGTGTCACTATGGGTGTCACCCATGGGTGCCCCGCAGCTGCAGCTGGGGGTGGAGCTGGAGGCCATGGGTGTCCCTATGGGTGTCCCTATGGGTGTCCCTATGGGTGTCGCTATGGGTGTCCCCACGTGTCACCCATGGGTG